ATTTTTTTTTTTTTTTTTTTTTTTTTTTTGTGCGAAGACAGATAAATCTAGATAGTTTTTAGACTGATGTTAGTAAGGCTTCACTTTCAAAAACAATTCTTCCGATCGTTTACTTAAAAAAATGTTAAATTGGCTCAATATTGAGAATGAGTGTGATCAAATGTCAAATACTTGAACCCTAGACATTTGAAATATAAGATGAAGATTTAATCCCAATAATAAAGATTAAAATATATCATTTTACTTACGCTCACAAGTCGGCAATGATCCATCGAACTTGCCGTTAGTTTGGCAAGTTCGAGTGTCTGTTCCCTGCAGGCGGTAGCCGGTCTCACATCTATATGTAACCCTCGTGCCTATGTCATGCGGGGGAGAACTGGGAGTGACGTCACCATGAGCTGGTCTGCCCGGATGTTGACAGGTGACCTCTGTTTGACAATCATAAACATTATAACCTGTCTAATTTGAAGTATAGATTTTGCCAACAGTCATCTCATAAACTAACACAGTTGACATTTAACATCTTATAAATTTTTATGCAGCAGGGATTTATAAAGACAGAGATTGTCCGTAGATGTTTTACAAATTTAGAGGTAATCCTGCTTTCGGGTCTTTTTTCGGGGGCGGAGGAAAGGGGCTTTCCACATAGTACAGTGTTGAAAAAAATGATTATCTTCTATCAACACCATACACAATATCTGTGCAATTAGCATGCACGCCAAATAAAACAGACATAAAACGGACAATACTTCTACACAGTACTTACTGGTCTCACAGCATTTCCCAATAAACCCGGGTGGACAGGAGCACATCGCATTCCCAGGGGTGCCACCGTTACTACAGGGTACAGAACACCCCGGGCGTTCCAGGGAGGGTCCGTTACAGTTGTGTCCGGCGGCCCAGCCTGAACACCTCGCTGGAGGAGCTTTAGATCGCGTGCGTGTTCTGGTGCCTATATGTCAGAATACAATACTTTGAATTTACCAATACAGAGTATTTCACCCATTTTTTTCAGTTTGTACCTTGTGATATTTTGCTGTCCACTTATGTCTTTTGCTCTGCTTGTCATATTATGCTTATTAATTTGTTTATGTTGTCATCATTTTGCCAATACATACAACGAACAATGTATAAACTCTTTTATTTATTTATTTATTTATTTATTTATTTTTAGCTACATGTAATATATTTACAAATGCAAATCATCAATGGAGTTTTGCCCATTTATATGGTCATCCATTTAGTTAAAGTGCTCACCTCCGTGTCCACACTGGACAGTATCATCTAATAATACCAACACCATTGTTAAAGTCCTCACCTCCGTGTCCACACTGGACAGAGCACGGGGAATATGGCGTCCACTGCGACCAACAGTTGGCGGTACAGAATCTGTTCAACTCATTTCGTCTGGCCGTCTCCTTCCGGCTTTCTTTCTCTTCACTCCGTTCTTCTCCAGTTATTTTCTTAATGATACCACCCAACCAGCTCCTCTTAACCCGCCGTGGGCCGAACGCCTTGGCTGATGCCTCGTCCATGAAGATGCCGTCATTTTTGACGTCACTAAGACAATGCAATGACCAATGAGTTAGATATTATAACGGCAAGATAAGATACACAGTAACTTGTGACCAATCATGGGCGTGATATTTGAACAAAAGCCTGCAAAAATTGAAAAATATGCAATTACATCGAGAAGCACCGAATTCGGCACATTTGTACATTGTACCATGCCAAGATGCTACCTAAAATAATCTCATTGCAATTGTTGACATACGTTTTTCTCTTTCTTCATTTTGCTTTATCTTAGTGTACAATAGCATCTACATGACTTAAATTATGGAGGTCAACAATAGCAATAAGGAGGTCAACACTTACCTCTGGTCAGCAGCTTCAATCAAAGCAAAAGCTACTAAAACTGCCCCTAAAATCCACCGCATGGTGCTTGGGTTGAAAGTGAACTTGTTGAAGATGCAGGACCCCCATGCAAATCCTCTTACAACAAAAATATGTAGATTATTTGATAAGTAATTAGCTGATAATGTCACTGCGGTATTTTCTTCGGGGAAGGACGGCTTTTACGAGCCAAAATTTGAGAGAAATGATTTCAAGTAAATGAGGACCAAATAGCTTGGTGTGTGTGTTACTCAGTTCTATTTCCTTATTACTGTGACAAACAGTCACATAAATCACCCAGGGCGCTATAAATGTATTTAGACATGCAAGTCATTGTCAAAACGTCGTTTAAAGCAAAGATAAGTGAAAGTTTTATCTCGGTAGAAGAATATTCTTCTTTGGAAATAGATTTTCGTAGAATTGCACTTAAGGAGAAGTGTATTTAAAGATTCTGATGGCTTGGATAAAAGGGCGTGAATCCGGTGAATTCGCTTGTATATCGCAAAAGAAATGACAAATGAATGAAAACTGAAACATTTGGAAGTTCCCGCTAATTATGGTTTTTTTCTTTCCGTCATGCCACGAAAGGGTACAGTAATCAAACACATAAACTGCAGATATAAATATCATGAATTTATTTATCAGCTTTGAAATTACAAGACATTCTTAGCATAGACTAAAGTCTATCTTAAAATATTAGAAAATGAAATAACAGAAATAATCAAACAATGCTGTTATTTACCAGTACGTCATTTCTAGTATCATTTATGTACAGATACTTAACGATGTAATCATGATTGCCAAAAATCACCAACAACAAAAGAAGGAAATCAGCACTTAAACATCAAACACAAAGTCATCCTATTATAATGAGAGTAACAGTTTTATAACGCATTATAAGCCAGGGTGTCTTCTTTAAGACATGTTTCTGCAAGGCAGCATAGACGTTCAGACGATCCTTATAAAGAATCACGTACTTTTCACGATATAAGACAATAAATGAATGCATTTATCTGTAGCTTGAGCTTAAACCTTTAACAGTTACAGCGAGGGTTCAATTGAATACGCGTTCTAGTTTGAGGGGTTACACCGTAAGCAAAGAGGACAAATCGTGCGACCTTTACAACGTGTACACACCTGGTAAACTTGAGCAATTAAAGTACTACACATATATAACCAGCCCCATTGCGACATTTACATCTAAAATAGATCTTATTACAGCTGCAGTATTTCACACGTTCACTTGGATGTAAAAATGGCCGAAATGTTGCCCTGGTTTTCACTTATAGTCTTCCCAAGTTCACGGAGCTGCTTGATAAATTCAACGAAGATTTTGAATATGGGACTGCAGTCTGGAGATCCAGTAAGGGAGGCAAACCCACGCGGACATGGCAGGCAGTACGTGCGCTTGGCTTCAGTTTGGAACGTCCCTGGTGGACACTTCTGGCAGCTGGTGCCCCCTATCGGCAAATATCGACCAGCAGGACAGGGAACTGAAAGAACAATAAAACGCATTAAGATGCATGCTATATCAAGAATACAAAGAATTGCACATGTCCTTTATGTCCCAAATGAACGCCAGACTGTACATTGTTTAGACCCATGGGTCTGGTTTTACAGTTACTGGGAGATAAACACGACGTTCAGATAGTTCCTTTACACTAACTGCATGATTTGCCAGAAAAATTGAAAAACGGGATTTTTGATTAACGTATATCTAGGCTTACATCACGAACGTGTTCCTTTTCAGTTGAATTACAGCTTTGACTCACTCTCGTTTATAATTAAAACAACAGTATTCTGAATAATCCTCTCACTCATTTTCAAGCACCCGGACATAAGTATTTACCATCTAATTTCTGATAATTCGTTAAACCCAGACCTGCTTCTATGAAATGACTATATATCTATCATCATGTTTATTTGCAATCATAATCTATTAGCATTGAAATCACCAACTTGCTGGAGAGTGGAAAACAATTTTTTTTCAAGCGCTTTCAGAACCCGGACCTTTGTGGTCAACCTCAAACTGTTTGAATGCCAGTCAATATGAAACATTCCCTGTGAAGCAGTTAAGGTCCGGGTATAAACTTGTGAAAATATTTGACATTTTAGACCACAAACCAAATACGTAGCCCAAAGATAAAAAAGGGCAGGGCCTGCAATTACATAAGAAGTAAACAATGTGCACTAGGCAATTGATCTTCATATCTTTTTCTTTGACGTTAAACCATAGAAATATTATTCATATAGGTAAACAATTAAAACGTAGGCTTCAGTTCACTGAGAATAAAATCGGAGTCCAAGTGACTCCAAACTTGGAGTCCAGCAGTGGTGCCTAAAATAACTCCTAATTGGAGTCAGGTTGACTCCGATGGAGTAACGCCATCCCAGACCCCACAGGAGGGTCACAATTGACTCCATTCACACATCCCTTCATCCTTTGATTTATCTCAACAAAAGAGTAACCATGACCCCATATTAAGGGATTTTTGACTCCTTGGCTCATTATGAAAACACCAGCAACAACAATGCCAAGCGGGTTGACAGCAGGAACCGTTTATTGAAGACCGATATGACCCCGGTAGTGTTTGAACCTACGCCCTCCCGCGCGGACACTACCCACAAGGCCATCCGGTCGCATGTGGTGTTGGAACAGCAATAACAAACAGTGTGTAAATCTAGTAATAAACAGCATATATATATATATATATATATATATATATATATATATATATATATATCAATGAGTGAGCATACCTCCCCAGTGACATGCATTGACGGGTCAAAACTACAACCTGGAAACAAAACCTGCTGATCTGTATACCAACATATCACATAAAGGGAATGGCAACTGAAAGCCCGGGCCAGTAAGAAGTGCACGAGTTCTGCATGCAGAAACTCACAGAATACCACTTGTTCATGCATAAAACCAACTATGGCCAATAAAGTAATGTTTATACAGACAAAGGATGATGAAAACTGTTCTATCCACGCACGTCTGCTCACTGCCACCAGACACTGTCCCCCGGTTATTTGACTCTGATTTTAGAGTCAGATCGACTCCATGAGGGCCAAGGGGTGATTGACGCTGATAAGGGAGTCTAAAGACTCTGGTAGTGGGGTAATTTGACCTTTATATAGGAGTCAAATTCATTCCATGAGGGTCAAGGGGTGCTGGACTCTGACTAGTGTATGTATAAATGAGGCTGTCATATAGTTGTATAGAGTTCAATGATTATAGTTCACACAGATCATGTAAAAGACGGCGGATATACTCACCACATGTAGTCCCGCGAACTTCCATGCCATCTTCACAGGACACCGACATATTCTTGTCCATCTTGAAGCTGTTTGGCACCGGATTCAGCATCAAAGTTCCAATCTTCAGCACTGGTGGTGGAATAGGCGCTTCTGTGACATTTGGCGCTGTTTCATTAATTTGAGAACCAGTTGGGCTGAATATCTCCTGAACTTCTTTCTGCTGGCTGTTCATCATATTCTCCGTCTCTGCCATGTATCCTTGGGCGCATTCGTCACAGTTTTCAGAGCCATTACAATACTTGGTACAGTCTAAATCAATTGAAGGCTTCTGTTGTGTTTTAATCTTAAATCTGAACTTCAGAATATTGCCAGACGTGGCACGTTTACGAACACCACCAAAGGAATACTGAGGACCGCATTCAATTTGGACGTCCGAGATATTACAAACAGAGACGCCATTTTGTTTGCAGACACCCCTTTGTTCTAAAATGTCAACCAAAGCTTGCTTTGCTTCTCTACGCTGAGTAAAAGTAAGAGCCACACAGTCGTCAACAAAGTACGCTATTTCTGCCTCTAGTTCCACTCCAGGAAAGAATTGCTCTGCAATTAAATAATCGTCACAATTATGAAAGTATTGGAGAACGAACAAAGTGAAATTAATTATTGTGGAAATGTGAATTCTGTACTAATAAGAAAAATGAGTGACAAAATATTT